ATCTAGCGTGCGGGAAGCGTCACTTTACCACGTCAGTTTCTTTTCCCACGGATCAGAGCCATTTCGGACATTTCCGGGATTTTACCGCACGGGTTTGGGAGCAATCGGATGTTTTCGGAGATATTTCCCACGCCTTCAATGTCGACGTTTGTCAATTCTGACGTTCTTGTCAGTGAATGCATTCGCGTTGTTTTGCGAAAATATACCCAAAAACTAACGGTCGTAGAAAAAGTATAGTATGCAACACGTTCGGTAAACTTTTTAAGTCACTCGTTTATTAAACATTCGCTCCGCTCGTGTCAAATAAACTCGTGAGTCAAATGGCGTTTACCGCACTTGTTGCATAATATGCTATTTATACTATTACAGTATTTACAAAATTCAGAAATGCCACACGTCACTTGAACCACGTATACGTACAAAATTTGACAAGCATTTACAGTCGCGTCTTCATCTGAGAGTTTGACTTTTAAAAATACGTCCCAACGTTTATTAACGTCCGTTGTGCAGGTGGAATCTCCATGTCACGCTAGTTTAGCACTAACACCAATTTTGTCCGTTCGTCTTATTGTTTGTTCTCGTTCTCTCTCTCTCTCTCTCTCTCTCTCCTGTCTCTCATGCGCGTCGGGAATGTTACGTTACGTTTTTCCAGCAAAATTTTAATTTTAGATGAAGAATGCGAATCCTACACCATGAGAAAACCCAAATTTATATTGTACCAACGTGACCTTTAAATTAATGAAAATGAAACATATAAATCAAAATGAAAATTGAAACAAAAACTGAAACGGCCCATGGCGGATGTCTTCTAGAGGGATAAGTTTCCATTCATTCCTCTAATAAGCCTTGTCGCAATTCATTTAAAGTTAACGGAGCAGGAGCACGACTTCGCATTCCTCCCCAAGCATATCTCAAACATGTTTTATTGGGTTCGCATCTGCACCACATCGTTTAGGTATTCTTGAGCGATTTTCGCTCTGTGGGATCTGGCAGTATCATTCATCAAAACAAAATTAAAATCAAATGGACAACAAAATGTTCCAGAATTTCTTCAATAAATCTGGCAGCTCTTGGACATATTTCAGTCCTCATAAATGAACCCCCATGGTAGCCTACTCTCGAACCGGATTCTGGATTCTGCAAAACTTTACTATGGTTTTTGCCATATGCTCTCACGACCATATGGAGATCGCAGGCTAAATGAAGATTGATCGGTGAACATTTTGACCCCAGTATTCATGATTGCTGGCAAACTAAAGGCACGCAATCCGATGACGTCTGTTGCGGATCTAGGCTGACTTATCCAAGCCCGTTCGCTCACGTTGGTATTCAGTGCGCGATGAAGTTAATTTCTGATTTTGACACCTGTAGCATGACGATAGTGCCAGGTCGTCTAGTGTAACCACCAGTTTGCAAAAAAAGTACACAGTGCTACTTAATACGAGATGATAACGTTGAGCATCATATCTTCCATCTTAAATCAACTTAACCTTTTCAGTCACTATTTCAGAGCTAACAGCAGGCATTGCCTGAAAAAAATAAACGGCTTGCTAAGCACAACAACATTTTGACAAAGATCTGTCAAATTTGTCATAACAAAAAAAAACCGACGACCAAGCAAGCAGTTTTAAGTGACAAAATCATGCAATCTTTAACTTACTACATTTTTATTGAAATCCAGTCTTTTCTTTCCAATAAGCGGTTGGTTGGTACTATTTACAAAACTTCCAAATTCCTCTTGCGTCGGTTGCGGGTCGGATCGCATTTTACTCTGTGCCTGCTTTTATATTGTTTGAGGGGGGTGGAGCTAATTGAGGGGCATAAATATCGTCTCGGATTGGTTAAGGTTGCTTATAGATTTTTATAGATTCTCGGATTTTTCGTTGGTAGAAGAATTGATTACATGCAAGATTTTTAGTTTTATCGAATAAAATTTTATGTCCGGTTTCGTGATTGTGTTCGGCAACTGCTTATGCTCTTAAGGCTCTTTCATGTTTTTTGAGCTTAGTTGATATTTTTCGTCCGATCTCTCCAATGTATTCCTTGCATCTCAAATGGAATTTTGTTTCTGACGGATCGAAGATGTTGAGAGATTCTTGGACAAGTGGTAAATCTGGTTTTGGCGTTATATTTCTTAAGAAAGTTTGATATCTGGTAAGTGATGTTTTGAATGTAAGGAAGGACAACAGTGGCAAGTGTAGTTTTGCTTTGGGACTCATTGCTATTGGAAGGTTGTTGTGAGATGTATTTTTTGATGCAACGCTTAATATCTTTAATGTCTAAATTATTAGAGGGAAGAACAGATGTAAGGTGTTTTAATACTGGATTCAGTGATTCGGGTTGAGATAGTTTTACGGCTCTCTAAACAAGAGGGTTGATAACCGATGATTTTTGGGCCGGATGCTGATGTGACAATGCATTAAGGTATCCGTCTGTGTGCGTAGATTTTCTGCCAACACAATGACCCAATGTTATGTCTGATTTTCTATTGATAAGAATATTTAAAAATGGGAGGTTATTATAAGTTTCTAATGCAATGATAAAACGTTCAAAAGTATCATCGACGGCGCGTTTCCATAATTTTGGTTTTATATGGAAGGTGTTCAGAGTTTTCTTGTCAAAGGCTTCCATAAATATATTCGCCATGAGGGGTGATAATGGAGAACCTATAGCTGTTCGCAACCTTTGTTCCAAAATTTGACCGTTATAAGAAAAATATCTTCCAGACAAGCATTTTTCAATTAAGGTGAGAAGGTTTGGTTCGAGATTCTCGGATTTTAATACATCGGAAATGATGTTGAGAATTTCAGGAATAAGGAGGTTAGTAAACAGGTATTCTACTTCGAAACTAACCAGAATATCTAAAAGGAATTAAGTACCAAACTGTCAGTTTTCACTGTAAAGGGTTTTAATATACGAGGGCAGCGCCAAAATTTCCCGGTCTGAACATGAAAGAAACAAAGTACAGTAACAATTTTTTATTATTTTTCAATATAATCCCCCTTAACTTCAGTACACTTATTACATCTCTTTATTAACAACTCGATCCCTTTAAAAAAATATTCTTTTGGTTTGTCTGCAAAATGAGCTAAAACAGCCTCTTTTAACTCAACTTCGTCGTTAAACCGCCGTCCACATAAGTCCTTTTTCAAATATCCAAACAAATAATAGTCGCTGGGGGCCATATCTGGACTATAGGGAGGATGCATGCAGGTGCATTATCGTGCAAAAGACGCACGTTTCTGCTCAGTTTTCCTCTACGTTTTATACGTATGCAGTCTCGCAATTTATGTAATAATGTTGCGTAATATTTACCATTGAGTGGTATTAGTTTCTTTAAAATTTATCAAAAGAATTCCTTCACAATCCCAAAAGATCGTGGCCATCACATTTTTTGTTGACTGGCAGACTGTGATTTTTTTTGGAGGTGCTTCACTCTTACGACGCCACTCCATTGATTCTTTTTTCGATAGAGGGTCATAATAGAGAACCATAGTTTCATCTCCCGTCACAATAGTTTCTATCACAGGCTTCGGTTCCGACCCACAGAGCTCCAAAAAAGACCGCGCACACTCGACAGGGCGTTGTTTTTGAATAGCCGAAAGGCTTTTAGGAACCCATCCTGCACTAACGTTATGCATACCTAAATGATCATGCAGGATTCGACGAACACTTGTATCAGAAAGCTTAGTAATTTCTGAGATTTCCTTGAGCTTTAAACGTCAATCACTCAATACCACCTCTTCCACAATCGCAACAATATCTTCCGCTATGACCTCCACTGGTCGACCATCTTCGGTCATCTTCAAAGGACTCCTGCCCCATACAGAATACGAAGGAGAACTTTGGCCTTACACACCATCCAGCCTTTCTTTAATAATTTCAGGTGCTAACCCTTCTTTTGTCAAAAACTTTATCACTGCTCTATACTCAATTTGCTTTATGTGCGACATTTTTTCTTGTTTAAAATGCTGTCAATAAAAAACTATTTGACGCAAGACTTTGGTAGAGAAGAAGGATTAATAACAGATTTAAGGATGATTGTTGTTAGAAATTACTTAAAATATGTTGTTTAGTTTGTGGGTTAGTAGGACAATAAAATATCACAAAATATTAAATTTATTTTTTATGTACAAAATGCGCAAGCGTTCCGTTTTTCATGCCGATGAGCATATTTTTCTCTACTTCTCTTACTTCGAGTGTACTTCATTCACTTTCGGTAGATTTTAAATGCTGATGGTGAAGTCTGTCGGTTTTCCAGCTAACCCCTGTAAAGTTTTTGCTCACTTACACAAAAAGATATAATTAAGGGGCGTTTTGCTACACAATAATTTTTTTTTTCGAAATAAGGCGAAGGGATAGGCATAACAAAAGCTACTCAGAATTTTGCGCAAAACAGTAAAACACATGTTCAATTTGAATATCTAATGACGACGTTTGTTTCGAGATGATTTGGCAACGATGCGACCTATTTAATTCTCCAGTATTTGTAGGACACTCGAAGTGAGTCAGCCTTTATAGTGCTTTATATATACTTTACAAACTTTGGTAATACTGACAAAAAATGTTTGAGACCTTAATTTGGGCGAGAATTTTTATAGTTTTGTGAAACTCAACTCTTTGAGTATTGGCGATTTGTCTTATTGTTTGTTTTTGTTTATTGTTTATTGTTTAATGACATCGCATCTCCAGTTTGCTTAATAAGTCCCGTTTTAGATGTACCGCTTTAATTGAGGAGTTACGAAACCCGGATTTGATCAAGGAGTCCCAATTGCTCCTGTTAAATCTATTAGAGAACGCTACACACTTCGCAAGATTCGTCAGAATACAGCCGAATGCACACCAGTGTACTGAACAAGTTCTGCAGCTTTTACACATCGTAACAAATTGCCTACCCAACATCAGCAATATGGATACTTTCAAAGAAATTTGCACCTACTGCCGGTGTTTGATTCCAATCTTCAAGAAGAATCATCAACAACTGCATTTTTTTTATGCCAACACAATGTTGCTCGAATGTTTGATAATAAGAATGAAAAATGCTTGCGTCGACTTAATAATTGAAGTGTTAAAGCTGCTTACCGTTCTACTCAAGCTTCAGGTAAGAGAATTTGCGCTCCAATGTCATAGCGTTTATGAAACCTTAAACCTTTAAAAGGTAAATCTTTGCCTAATTTTAACGCCAAAGGTTCATATGAATATTTAGCGACTACAAAACAAATTTTTTATTAGGTTTTTTGTGACCTAATAACTTGAGATTTGTTGGTGAATCAAGTTAGCTTTGTAATTTTAAAAAATTGAATCAATAACATTTTGAAAAAGAGAAAGAAAAATATTTGTTTAGGCGACAACATTATTACCAAAGCGTCAATATCTGATGATTAATAAGGGCAATTCAATTGAAATATTTTCTTCCTTGGGTTTTGTTGATTTTGGACTGTAGTTTTGTAAACTAGTGATTCTCAAGCGACTCCACAGAAAATAGTTCAAAAAGATTCAAATTGTCAGATGTCTCGTCACTTTAGTTTTGGTCTACGTTTCATTTTCGTGAAAATACTTAATATGCCTTAATTGATATGAGAGTCGAAGTGGGTGTTTGTCCGAATGCTTGTTTAGTTAGTGATTTATGAATTACAATGTCTATTGTTTAAATTGAACCAATTTAAAATTTGGTAATACAGAACGACCCCGATTATCCTTAGGCAGGTTATTCGTGCTGCGGATTATCTGTGCCATTATTTATTTGGCATTACATATAATCGTACAATTTCCCAGTACAGCATTTTAACGATCAAGCTGTTTGGATATCTTATGATATCTTTCAAGATTGGGTTCAAAAAATCCCAATTAGGCAGCTTTAAGATCCGACGACGAAAATTTATTTGTAAATTTTTTTCAAGCAATTTTTACATATCTTGCTCAACCAATGCATCAAGGTGTTAATGAAACAATTAAAATATTGTGGTAAATACATACAGTAGATTGCACAAAATGACTTTCAAAGACTTTTGGTTAGTTTGGTTAACTGATGAAACTGAAGTTGAATGGTGGATTCAGTGTGACAAAAGTGAGCCAGCCCAATGACGACGAATTATCGCCTCAGTTTTGAATGGGCCTGCTAAGGCATAACCGTATTCGTCTAAAAAATGAGAGCCTGAGAGCTAAAACGAAAAAAATGATGTTATCAATCAAAACAGTAACTAACCGAGAGGCAGAAGAACACACCAACATTCCATTAGAGTATAATTTATTTTTTCATTAATAACTGGCTGTGGTCAACTAACCAAAACTAATCAGTTGTTGAAAACAGAAATAATTATCAAGATTGCCATGAAAACAATTTTTTTTATACGACTAAATCATATAGCTATTAGAACTTATGAAGCAACCATGCAAACGCAAACGTGAGATTTAAAATTTCGTTTTTAACCAATAACCTTGCGACAAATGGCGCAAAGTGCAGGTTAGAAAATATTAGTTGATCAATTTTTACTGTAGTAAGGCCACTACATTATCCAAATGACTATTTGATGCTTATCAAAGCCTCTTAAGTGTCTTCCGTTTTAATTACTTTAAGTTTGTTAAATGTTTATTGCATTGGAACTAAGAATGTCTAGGGAACACAATCTTTTATTGTATTTTCGGAGTTGTCATTTGCATTTTTTTTCTTTTATTTTTTTCTATGCGGTTTACGTTCAATACGGGGACCATACGAATTTGAGTTTAATTTAAATTTTCGCGGCTGTCTTTTAATAATTTTTTTTACGCCACCTGGACCACCAGTATAGGAGCATAAAAAACAATCCAAAAAAAAGTCGCCGACTTCGACGATCGGATTCGAAGTGATATTGGCCACGAGTGAGTACGGGGTGAGTTTTTGTGATTTTTCGGAGCAATGCCGTGGTGCATTCCTGGACGGGAATTCTAGATATTGCCAATTAGATTCACAATTCAACCAGCATTTTCGGCCCCAAAAAATATTACTACTTAACTAATTCAGTAATGAATAAAAATAGTTTTTCTTCAACAATTGATTGCTTTCTGTTAGTTGACTAAAGCTAAATATTAATAAAATAATTAATGATAATAATAAAGTAATCGTCATCTACTGGCTAATTTTGTGCGAATCACAGGTAATGTAAAAAAATAAAAAAATAGTAAATTTGCCTTTTATTCGGTAAATTCGAGTTAATTAGATATTAATAACAATCCGACAAGTAGAAAATTATCCCAAAATCCAACTTCTTTTGAGAGGCTTAAGTGGTTTTAATTATATTTCAGGTTAGGACAAATATATTGAGACGTGGCCTTTATTTGACAAGGTCATGACGTAAAAAATCATATCGTTGCATTTATTCTTTTCAAGGATTTTTTTTTGCGATTATGACAGAAATCGCGGCGCCTATAGTACGATTGATAGCATATGAAAAGTTCTTTTTAACAACTCCAAGCTTATAAAATGCGTTAAACCTTTGTGGAGATATTTCCTTCGAGATAGAGCAAATAGCAATAAGTAAAAAAGATTTGAATTTAGAGTTTAAAAACGGTATTCACTTTAACTATGGTTAATGTTAGGAAACTTAAAAATAAGCACTTTATTTATATTGGTCGATTGCCTTAATTAATTAAGGACCGTCTTTTTCGCTAATACCGTACTTCGTTGGTTTTGGATAAATTTCTACCAATTCAATTTTTGTTTCACTATGACTTTTCAGAGGGACATTTTTAACAAAACATTATAGACCGATGAGGCGATTTTTACGACGTTTCGCATGCGCAATAAAAACGCAATAAAAAAATGTCTCTTTTATTGAACAGAGAATAAGTTTTTAATGAAAAAAAAAAGCAGGGCCATCGGAGTGTTTTGGGGTATTGTAAGGGGTAGAATTGTTAGCCCCATTTTTTTTTTAAAACTATTTAAACCCACAGAATTTTTTAATAATGCTTCAAAATACAATAATGCCAGAAGTGAACAACCTACCCGATAACTTGCGGGAGAACATTAAATTTCAGCAAGAGCGCACCCTATCGTTGTGGTCATCAAGTGATAAATTTTGTAAGAGTAAATTTCCAAAATATAATTGGTAAAAATGGTGACATTGCGTGGGCAGCGCGAAGTCCCGATTTTACACCTCTGACTTTTTTTGTGGTGCACTTTACAGGATCGTGTGTATAAATTGCGAAATAACTATACAGTTGATGACCTTACGGAAAAAATTAGACAAGAGATTCTTGCATTAAATAATATTGGTTAGAAACGCAGTCTCTAGCATTATGACGCGTTATACAATGTGTATTGCACAGGATATATTATAGTATCACCATTTTTTTTCAGATATTCGTTTTCTGTTATTTTGTGTTATAGATTTATTTTTTCTTTTTTTTTTTAGGTAGCCTATAAACTGTAATTACTTTTTTTTTATTCAGTATTTTCAGTCACGTTAGATAATTAACTATTAAAAGTTTCTTTAATATGAATTCTGAAGTTTTAGTTAGTAAAATTTAAATGTAAGATAAATTACAAACTTACCTTATTTTTTGTCCTAGAAATGATATCTGAATAAAAATATAGGTTGTCCCATTTGAAAATCTTGAAACCACCAATTTGGGGCACCCTGTATAAGCTGAGGCGCACCTGTCAAACTGATAGAGTAGCGCATCATCTCCTTAGTCTGTGGTTTAATTTTCGTTGCAATACCTGGACCAGCAGCGTCATAACACAATTTTATATGGGGCAATCAAAATAAGAAAAAAAAAACACCTCAATTCCTGCCTAAACTATGCAAAATTTGAATACGAATTTCTTAAGAAAGTGATAAAAAATTTATAATATTTAAAATCTTCAGGAGAGTCCAAGAAACTTTTGTACGAAACTTTTTTGGTTTCTCCTATGGGTTTCCAGTGGGTCGTTTTATTTGGCACACGGTGTACATGCTTTTCAATTATCCGGGCCTCGAATAATCGGGGTCCTACTGTGTTTCTAGTTGTCATCGGAATATTCATGAAACACCCTGTACAACTTAACAGTTAGTTTTAGTTAATTTACTGTGGCATTTTAGGCGAAAAATAGAGGAAACAGATCTCTAAAACACTCGACTCCGACGTGTGACGAAATCGATTTACCGACAGTCCTTCGGAACCCGAAACTAGAGCCCGACTTGTGTTTAAATTTGGCTTGCGAAGTTCTCAAAAATGCAAGTCCCTTTAAACTACGCGAAAAAACGATTTTTCAACTGATGCTCGCGTTGACCGGATTTTCATATGACGCCAAGCGATTAACGAGAAGCTACGTCTGCATTAATGAGATAATTAAGCAGCACAGGTGGATGGTGAACTGCCCCTTTTTAAGTTCTTTCGTTGAATATAGGTAAGATGTTGCTGTTGCTGTTCGTTCCAAATTTCGTATGCATCCCCGAAATGTCATTCCAAATACTTTTTTAGGCCGTCTAACTCTGTTCTTGACTTATTTGTATAAAGCTTCAAAGTATTTTTGTGATTAAAAAAATTTACGGGGAGCCATAAAAAAGAATATTTAACAATAACTAATTTGGTATTAATAAAAAACTTAAATGAAATGTTGGAATTGTTCACCATCTACCTCAATAAATTTTACAATATAGTCTCTTAAATGTCTTTATGACTGCTAGGGATATTCGCCACGCCTTGTATTTTCGGCCGTACATAAAGCAAAGTATGAACTTCTTCAGCGTATTTACCAAATTTTTCAATTTTGCCATATTGCGATGATACTTTGATTTCACTATCTGTTAAAAATATAAAAAAAAAATTAAAGGCAAAAGTTATTTATATTCAGTTATACTTTTATAATATTATATTTTCATATATAAAGGAGTAAGTAACAACTTATTTTAAATAGCACACCCTGTGTTAAGTTCAGTTTCTAACATATTTTTAATTTTATGTGACGTTTGTAGGTCTAAATATATCTATCGATTTCGCACACTGAATGTTTTTGCTTTATAGTTGAAGTAGATTTAATTATATTAAAAATGTTATTATAAATTTTAATTGTTAAAGCTTTTTTTTGAATGGTAAAAGCTCATTTATATAATTTTGTCGTATTTAACATTTAAAAAAGGGGGACTTTGTTTACGGTTCACATTCACATTAAAGTGTTATTCATTGTAAAAATGCTATGATCGCGAAACAATGCTAAGAAAAGCAATGAAGCACTACAGAAATGTCACTATTTTGGCTTGTTGTAAGTTTGGGAATCCATGTTTCAAACTTTGTAATTTTTTACTGTTGTTGGTATTTCGATACAAAAAATTAATCTCACTACAATTTCTAAAAAAAAAATAAACAATAGATAAAGAAAGAAGTTCTAGTAACTTTTATAAAACATATAGCTAGTCACCAGATGTCAGCAGTGGTTTAACAATAAATAAATACCCCAATTATGGATCTGACACACAAATAAACTCAAAATTATATTACGGTCGTTGTTTGCTTAAGCAGCTTTAAGTATTCATCAGTTTTAAGCATTATCTACCAAAAATTGATTCGTTATTCTTTTAATCTTAACGTGTTGTAGAGATTGGATCTTATTTGGTAGGACATTAAAATAGTTTACTTTGATCTCATTATTATGAGATGTGGCAGCTTGTATTATAGTCTTGCAAATCGGCATTAAAATATTGATGTAAATTTTCGTGGATCTGTAATATTAATAGTAAATCAAAAAATTAAAAATATAGTTTATTATTCTTAACTTTCAGAAAAAAAATATAATTCTAATTCTGAAGGCCCCAACATTTTTAAATTTCAGCAAATGTCAAAATGTTATTGATAGAATATTTTAATAACTTGTGTGTTAATAACTTAATTACTGAAATTATCAAACTAAGTAAAATTGTTTTTTATTCCGTCACATTTCTTCTTGGCTAGTGATGACGCTCGTTAATGCCTAAATAAAGTTTCATGTCCAACCGTCTCGTTATTTTATTTGTCCATTCCTACCACAAAAGCACCGAAACTTGCTATTTAAGTGACACTTAGCAAGATAAGTTTCTTTTAAAATATATATATTTTAACGTCACTTCTGACTTCTTGAGCGCTCATGTAAAACATCGATTTAGTAAGCATACTATTGCGGCTATACTTAACACCGCCAGCTTGGACAAAACTTGTTGAATTGAGTTTTTTTTAGACCTGTAGATGATATACCCTAAAATGTCACTAAACATTTTACTTTTCAGTGACTGAAAGAATAATGGAAAATAATATGATATATGATACAACAGCTTTTTATCGCTATACAAGGGCAATCGTGGTTTGAAGAGAAACATTTTTTGTTTCTTTTGCAAATCTGCAGGAATAAGCAATGTAAAAAAATACTTTTTGTTTGACAAAAAGTCATTCAGTCTTTCCAATTAAAGAATATTGAACATGGCTGAAGCGAAGATTGTAAATTAGACTCTCATCACGCTCTTAAATATTTGCACCTCATTAAAGATACACCGTAAGTGGGTGTAGTAGCAGTGCGCTGTAGAAAATCCAAAAATATACTTCTTAATAGTATATTATGCAACCAGTGTGATAAACGGTATTTGAGTCATGAGTTTATTTGGCATGAGCGGAGCGTAGCGGAGCGAGTTCTTGATAAACGAGTGACTTAAAAAGTTTGCTAAATGTGTTGCATACGATACTTTTTCTACGACCGCTATTTTTTGGGTATATTTTTGCAAAACAACACGAATACATTAATGACAAACAATAAAATTCAAGACGTGCTGTAAACATCCGATTGCTCTCAAACTCCCAAACCCGTGTGGAAATGTGTGAAATGTCCGAAGTGGCTCGGATCCATGGGACAAAAAACTCACGTTGTATTTTACAAAAGGGAGTAGAAAATTGTATATTATGCAACAAGTGTGGTAAACGGCATTTGACTCACGATTTTATGTGACACGACCGGAGCGAGTGTTTAATATACGAGTGACTTAAAAAGTTTACCGAACGTGTTGCATACGTAATCTATTTTTTCTACGACGTGTTGCACACTATACTTTTTTTACGACCTTTAGTTTTTGGGTCAAATAAACGTCAAAATTCAAGGCGTGGGAAAGATTTCCGGAAACATCCGATTGCTACCAAACCCGTGCGGTAAAATCCCGGAAATGTCCGAAGTGGCTCGGATCTGTATTTACATACGGGAGTAGAAAAAAGTTTTTTGCTAATATTTCAAAATCTACAACTTTTTCGTAAAAAGCCTTTTATAAAGCCACCTTTTTTAACTGCTAAATACGACAGAATTAAAAAATATCTCGATATACATATATTTAAAATAATATCTATAAAATATATTAAAGTCGTCACGAAAATACAAACATGCTTTATATATGACGATATAATATTTTAAAAGTATGAGTGAATCGAAATTATTTTTGTCTTTGATTTTTTTAAATGTTTTGAACATGTTTTGAGATTAAAGTATCATCCCATAATAAACGGGCCACCCTCTATGTTTAGATCATCGAATATGGAGGAAAATTATTGCATATGCAATGAACATTATCCGTCTCTAGTTGTTTTTTAGTTGCTATGGAAAAATTTAACTAATGGAAAATGGAAAAAATGGAAAAATTTAAATAATTTATAATTATAACAGAAAAAAAAACTATAGACAATATTTTCATTTGTCCCCGATTTTGGATCTCTTACATTTTCTGAAATTCCTTCATTGATGAATTTGAAATTTGAAACATTCATATACCGGCTGATCTAAATTAAGTAATTATCACTGATAACTTTGTTATGAGTAGAGATACAAAGTCGGTTAAATTAGCAAACTAGTAGCATTTTTTCCACTGATTTCGATGGTGATAACCGAAAAACAATTAAATAGGACAAAATGAGGAAAATTTGCTGTTTTTAAATAGAACACCTTGTATATTTCTACTCTAACAGTCGTAAATCATCAACAGAACAAAAAAGCTCATATGCAATATTAGCCTAAAATTGAAAATAACCGAATTATCTGAGAATTTCTCTTTTAGACTAGTTGGTCATGACTGGTTGCGAAATAAAACTGCATTTTCGTTTTATTGTTTTTTTTTTAATACCATCAGCGGTCAGCGTGCCATCCATCGTAACAAAAATGCGAGAACCAATTATACCGCACCAAACGTTAAATTTGAAACGAACTTTTGGACCTCGGGGATGTACTAGCAATAAATTTTCTCTTGACTAGTAATGATGATTTTTTGGATTATTAATTTCAGAATTTGAAAAAATCGATTCGTCGGTCCACAAAATATACCCAATTTTTTTTATATTTTGGCGGCAAAAATTAATATGCCAATGACAAAAAAAGTCTTCTCTGCGCATCACCTGCTAAGAGCACCTGAGAGTGTCGGAATTTATAATGGTAAAATCTGTGTTTTTTTGTGCAGTATTAGAGGATAGGTCAGAGTCTTTGACTGTCTCCAATAGAATTGTCATGATATGCTTTAAAATATCCAAGAACACCAATTTCCATGTCTTCACTTTTAATAAAAAATTTTCGTTTGCTTCTTTTTGCAAAAACGGTTTCATTATTTCTGAAGATTCGATAAAGACGCAGAAAAAATTGTTCACGTGGTGGAATGCACCAAATAGCATTCTAACATATCGCACTTGTGTAATGTGTGTAAAAACCATTAAAAAACTAAGTAATATAGTAAAATTAATTTAAATAATTGATATCAAATGATATAACAGTACTAATAATTAACTTATTAAAACTAGTTTTTTGACAACTAGCTTTATATTTCGCAGGCCTCTTATTGAATATTTGATTAATGAAATCGTTTTAGCTAAAAGAAAGTGTACAATTTTTTTTTATGATAAATGAAGACGGGAAAATTGGTATTATTATTGTTTCTTAAATAAATTATGAAATTATTGTTTCTTAAATAAAACAGTCAAAAGGAAAAGGGGTTTTATTTCACAATCACTCATAGATATCTACTCCAGGAGAGAAGAAATGTGCTGATAATTCTGTTGGCGATTTAGAGTAAAAAATATACAAGGTGGCCCATTTAAAAATTTTCCTAATTTTTTACTAAACCCTACATTCATTTGTTTTTGTGTTTTCACGATCGTAATAAGTGGGAAAAATGCTACTAGTATGCTAATTTAATCGACCTTCTATCTCTACTCATGACACTCATAACAAAGTTACCAATGATGAACACTTAATTTAGAACAGCCTGTACTTAAACAAATCTTAATTCTTGAAAATCTTAGCCGCCGTTCACAATTATTACTTGCACTGGATGCTCGGCTTCACTATTTCCCGAAAGAAATAGTGTACGAACAATGATTGCAGATTATATGATAATTTCTCTGGAATGTAAAAAATATCGACCAATAGAACCAAAGCGGTTGACCATACTAATTTGCTCTAATGCTATTGGACCGAAAATCCCTTGCGATACAAGAGAAAACGTTAAAGATTTTTCTTTTGTTTCAGTTACTTTTCTTTCACTGGTCGAAAGATCCCTTTGAA